TAGAGAGAAAGACACTCACACAATTCTTTTGTAAAATGTACCTGTAAACAAAATGTCTGTCTATGCTTGTAACTTGTGTTTTGCTTCCTAGAATTTCCTTTTATTATGCTGTAGAGAAGCTTGATTGACATGGAATGGCTATTTACCTGTGAAATATCATATCTGTGCCTGATTTAAGTAATGGATTCTTTCAATGTCTAGTCATCAGAAAGGCTGCCAAATGCTCTTCGGTTAAATTTACCCAGTCGCAGTTTTCTAGCCACTCACCCCCTTTCTATTTTATCCTTTTCTCTCTTAATTTAATATTTTTTTTCCCATTTCTTTTTCTTTGTTGAAAGAAGCCACCTTCAATGCAAAGCAGAAATCAGTGTTACCTGAGAGTGTGTGTCCTTTCTTTGTTTGTTTGGTGACGGGTGTTTTTTTTCCCTGCTCATCTTCAGTGCGGTCCTTAAATTTTGTTGTTGCCTTTCTAGCCTTGTTTGTAATGCAGTCATATTGGGGGATGGGGTTGGACAGGATATGCCAGTAGCTGCAGCAAGACATGATGCTGTGGTGGTGGATGGGAATAAGGGAGGAGTTTCCCTTAAAGAGCTCAAGCTCCTCAGAGCCCCGGCACCTGGAATAGCACTCTGAGCAAAGAGAAAGGCTTTGCACCTTTTAGGGGTGCGTGCGGTTGGTGTTGGTGTACCACAGTGAGCGGAGACCTGGGCGGTCATGTTCGTGGTGGTACCTAGGAACGGGGACAGACCGCTGCGTTGCTGCCCCGTGAATTTTTTCAATCGGGCAGAGTTCCTGCAGATGCGTGCAGGCGGGAATCCTGCTGGCCTGTGCGTGCGTGCAGCCGCAGCAGCAGTCCTTCCAGAGCAGCGGTGCTCACGCCTCGCTGTAGAAAAAGCATTAAACTTCTGCCGTGAAAGTACTCCTTTCTTCTCCAGGTGAAACACGGCTTGCCAGCGTGGCAGAGGAGTGCCTGTGTGCACCCCTCCTCCTCCTGCATGTCTCCCTGCGTCTGTGTATGGTCTTCTGGGCTTGCCAGAGGGTAAAGTTTGTTTGGGATGAAGTTCAGGAGAAGTAAATCAGAAACATGCTCAGGACTGCTGACCGCTGTCAGCAGCGGGCGCCGGTGGCAGATGGGGACGTGCAGCAGCGCATTCAGCATTCACCACCAGAAATAAGGCCACCTCTGTTTTCCCTGACGTTGGTTCAGAAGCTAAGACAGCAATTAGCAGAGATAAGCCTGGCCCCTCGGCAGGGTCTGTGTGCCGTGCCTTGTCAGGGCTTGGCCCCCAGTGCATGTTGGCCGCGTCCCATCCCCGTGAGGAGCTGGGGGGGCGCTGATCTGGGCTTCCTCCCAACGAGGCGGGGGGTGTGGGTTGGAGTGAGGTGTGGGGGGTCCCAGCTCCTGGGGCACCATGCATTGCCTTCCTTTGGGATGCAGGCCGAGCATGGGGCCCACGCAGCCGCACAGCCCAGCAGTGCCCCGCGCTGTGGGTGCATGAGGTAGTCCCAGCTGGGGCACCTCCAGATGGCAGGCCTGCCAGTGGAAAGTTGCTGTAGGTAGAGCTGTGTCCACCGAAAAGGATTCACATTAGCATCTATAGAGACAGGCTCCCTATCGGCAGTTCTTTGCTGTTAAAAAATCCCATCACTGGACAGGTACTGAGAGAGCAGCAAGCACTAATGCCACGGTATTAGGGCAGACCAGGACTGTGGGGTGGGGAGCTGGGGCCTTTTGCTGGCTTGGACTGGTCCCTGTGCAGGTGTAGGGACATAGCAGTTTCACGGCATCTTTCTCATGGGTGAGTCCATCCTGGTGGAAGTGTGTCCCAATGGCAAACTGGAGCCTGTGCCGTGAAGTGAGTGGGCTTGGGATGCGTCTAAGCATTGTGTGGCTGAACTGTGTGGCTGTTTGTTTGAGGCTTTGAGCACTGAAAAAAAGCACCATGCCAGACAACACTCACTTGGGGAGAGTGACCTTGCTCCCAGACTCTCCCAGTACACCCACACCTCTGTGTTGGAAATCTTGCCATGAAGGCAGGCTGGTGATGTAGAATTGAATAGGGTATCCATGCTCTTCACAGCTCCATGGAATTCTGCAGCAGAAAGAAGCTCCCTGCTTTGTCCATTTGCTGTCCTCAATAGCAACCTAGTCATCTAGGTGAAAGCTGACCCACGGAAGTTTTATTATGGAATAATTAAATCCACAGCATGGAAATACCTGGGGAACCTACTGGGGAAGAGGCTGTGGTTTGGCATGGTCTGAATCTGTCACTTCCATCCTGGAGCGTGCACAGTGCGTGGTGTTTACCCTGTGGCTAGATACATTGGATAGTGAGCTGGCAGGTGTGAGCTGCTGCTTGCCATTACAAACCACTGCAGATCAATAGCCCCATTAGTGCAGTGCTGAGCTCATGTTAAATTATCCTCCATTTCACCTTGAACTCAGCCTGTCATTGAGTATAGTTACATGGCTTCCTCTTCATAAATGGCTTGTGACCAGCCTGCTCAGAGTGGAGGTGGGGACTGGTTTGCAACAGAGCACTGGGAGATGCACCTTGAGAGTGGCAAAGCATCCGTATGCAAACTGGTGTTTGGTTTCAGACCTGTCACCCCAGATGTATTTCAGAGGAGGTGTTTGGATCTGGCCCCCCCTTGTTTGTTTTAAAGCACTTTTATTTTGTACTCCAGGCTATCTTTTCCAGAAGGGTGCAGCTGTGGCTGGTTTTTTTTTTTTTTTTCCCCGAAAGCTGCTCAGTTCCTCCTTGGGCCGTAGTATAAGGTAGCCAAATACCCATCATTGTGTCATCCATCAGGTCCCTCTGAGGACAGCTGGTTCTTTGTTACCCCACAACAATGGGAGCCACTGGGTGCTCGGCACTTAGAAAACAGGACCATCCGCTTTTGCTCCTGCTTTGTTTGCATCTGTTGGAAAAGCAGCACGAGGAGGGGAAGGGTAGCATGTTTTTTGTGCAGGGCTGAACTTAAAAATTCAACAGAAAATGTGAACTACTTGGTGAGCATACATCACTGTGACACAACCTTCAGTTACCTGAGTTGTTAAAGGAAGAGGGTAGTGCTGTCAGAAAGTTGAATTGCCTATGAATAGCTTTGTAATTTAGCTAATTGATTTTGTCAAGTCTGTGGAATATATAGGGTGTGGGTGTTCATCTTCCCAGTGTTTCATCTTAGAAGTGACAGTTACCTAAAACCATTTTTTTTTTATAAAAGCAACATAGATGTTGCATGCTGTGGATGGATGTCAGACCTCTGAATATCTGCTTTTTCAGCCTGTGCACCTGGCCTGTGACTTCAAACTGTTCATGGGCCACTGGGACACTTTCTGAAGTGTAGGAGGCATTTCTGGCATTCTGACCTTGGCAGGGCACACTCCGAAGTCAGGGCTGCCCAAAAACGCCTATGTAAAAGGACCAGCTCTGGATAAATGCAGTGTGAGAGCATGCAGAAATGAGTTAAACTGAATAGTATTTCCCTGCAGCGGAGAGCGTTGTGACTCTGTTAGGAGAGGGCTGAGAAGAGGGGTCAGGCTTTTTGCTTATGCACATGGTAGATAAACCCACACTCTCATTTTTTCTTTGCAGGTAGTGGCCGTGGAAGTAGCACTTTGCTCCCTCCTACCATCATCAATGAATTTCCAGAGTACGGCACCATAGAGCCAAGCGGAGACACGCTGAGAGCTTCATCGCCACACCAGGCAGAACCTGTGGCGTGCAGCCCAAAAAGACAGGACAGTCACCACCAGGTACCTGGCAGTCCCCTTCCTCTGCATGTGGCTCCTGCAGACAACTTGAGACTTGATGCTGGGGCAGCACAGCTGTGTGCTCCAGAAGAAAGTTTACAACCTGAGGGCAACCTGTCAGAGATTATGAAAATCTCTCATCAGCTGGAAGCAACAAAGGTGCAAGAGAGAGCAAATACTTCTCTTGATTCAGAGATACAAATGGAAAAAAAGAGTGTTACTGGCAACCACAGTGTGCACGCAGCCAGAGAACCAGTTCCAGCAGGCCAAGAAAAACCCTCAGACGTGCCTCTTCCATCTGAACAAACAGCTGAGGAAAAAATGCATTTGATTGTACAGAAAGATCTGGCTGCAATATGGACTGGGGAAAAGCAGTCCGAGTCCTTGCAAGACATCAGTAATAAAGCTGAGGAGGTCCACACAGCTCAGGAGACAAGCTGTCACAGACCATCTGTGACAAACCTGGAAGCCGCCAGCATAGTGGAGGGGTGGGCACATTCTGAGGAGTTTTCAGCTTACAGTCAAGGCAAAATGCAAATGGGTCCTGAGCGGAGGCTCTCTAAAGAGGCAGCTGTGAGCAAACATGTAGAATTTCAAGGGGTGGAGATTTTATGGTTGCAAAAAGCTGAGGAGCAAAGAAGAAAGAAGCACTCGCTGCTGGAGACCGTGTCTGTGGAGAGGAAGGTGTTCCCCAAAACATCCAGCCACCCTATGCCACCATCGGTCTCCCCAGGCTTGGTTTCCTCCCCGGACAATGCTTGGAACGAGGTCTGTGAGGACTTGAGGCTGGGACCCACTGCCTCTGGAGCTACTCCTCTGACGGTGCTTGATGGAAGCAGGGAGGATGAAGTTTTTGTGAAAGACAAGAAGAGCGGTGGTGAGGAGGAGACAACTGTGAAAAAAGCCAGGGCAGGTGAGATGGTGATCAGGGGGGTACAGGGAGCAGGCAGGGTTTCTCTTATCCCAAGCATGTGGCTTGTGCCTACCCCTTCAGGAGCTGATGAGAAACAGCAGATGTTTGCTGCCTGTGGCCTGGTGGTAATGGCAGCAGTTCATGCCCAGTGGTGGCTAGCACATGAAGTTGGGACTAAAGCTTGTCCACGCCACCTTGTTGAAGTTTGAAACCCATCTCAGGTTTGGAAGCATAAAGATATCTCTTGCTGTTTGCAGAGTATCTGCTCTGTGGTGAAAGATCTGTAGCAGTTGTGTTTGGGATCTGGACATGGCATGTAATTAAACATAGGCAGCATGCAGGCCTGGCCTTATGTGCCTGGCCAGATTTTCTGGGTTTGGGCAGAGTTATTGCAAGAGCGATGTGAGCATCTCCAAGGGGTCAGATCATAAAAAAGTTTTACCCAGGGCCTTGTATGTTTTAAGAGTGTAAATGCTGTGATGTGCTTTCTGTATTATCTATCTGCCTGTGTTTATGTAATTTTGGCTATATATATTGCAAAAACTGTGTGCTGCTTTTTACAAGAGCATCCCGATTTGCTCACTCGTCTTTCCAGAGGCATGCCTGTAACAAAGTGAGGGGTCCCACTCGTGTGTTCTGAGCAAACTGCCCGCGCTGGCTTGGTGGGGTGTCTGCTGCTGAAACTACAGGATCTCAGCAAGGGAGGTGCTCCTGCCTCTGCACCTCAGGATCTGTGGAGTTTTGCTTTGGCTAGTGTGTAGGATCACCCCGGTGGGCAGCACTGGTGCCTGGCATGAGCCGTGAGAAGCCCCACAGTATTGGGTGCAGCAGAGAAGAAAACTGTGCAGGGTATACTACACCTTCCCCTTTGCATCCGCAAGCAGACCAAGTCTTCTCCCTTCAAATCTGGATGTCCTGGCTCCAGGTTTTTGATTGCATTTGCTTCCCTTTGTGTTTTGGGGGGACGCCCATCCTCCAGCCTTTCCCTGAAGACCTTAGCTCTAGGACTGTAGAGCCAAAAAACTGTCCTCCGGGGACAGAGGCCCCATCTGGGTGTACATGTCCAACCTATACAGCCCCTGGCATGGCAGTGCTGCTGGTGAAGACTATGCATTTGTGACTGCTCTTTGCCTTTGCTCTTAAGCAGCTGATGTTACCTGTTGGGCAATACTAGGCTTTCTTTCCCTCCATCCCTCTCTTTTACCCAGAAGATGTTTTCTTTTTATGACCTTAGGAGAGTGAGATAGTGCCAGTCATGAACAGAGGTGGAGCAAGGAGAAACTAGCACACTTTACTTATGGTGTCCTCTCCAGCACAAAGCCACATTGACCTTTCTGTTTGCTAAGGTGGAAGGTGAGGAGGTTCAAGAGGTCTAAACCTTGTCCCCAAGCTGAAACGACCTGTTTCTGATTAATTTCCAGGCTGATGGAAGAGGGGGAAGCGGCCACGGGAGGATATGAAGATGTCCTTGGGCAGAGGCACTCCGATGTCTCCACTGATCTGTACAGCTCACAGTTTGAAAACATCCTAGACAATGCATCTTTATACTACAGTGCAGAGTCTCTGGAGACATTGTACTCAGAGCCTGATAGCTACTTCAGCTTTGAGATGCCACTCACTCCCGTGATCCAGCAGCGCATGAAGGAGGGCAGTCAGTTTTTAGATCGGACACCAGCCTCGGGGCAGCCAGATACCCTGCAGCTTTCCCCTGATGGGGGTGTGAAGGGCTGCAGTGAAGACATTGCCAATGGCTTAAAGGATGTAAGTGAAACACTCTTCAGAGGAGACGTCACGGAAGTCCCTCATTTGAAAAGGTAAAAGCAGTGGGTGAGCTTTCTGTGTGGCTCCTGATGTTTCCCCAGTGTCTGTTTCCTTCAGTGAACTGTCACAGGGTGTAGTTTCGCCTCATTCAGCACTTTGTGTTTTCGACAGAGTGTAACTGTGAGCTGCAGGAGAGCAGCGAGCTGTCCAAGCCTGCTGCTCTGATGAGAAATGTGCAAATTCAGTTTATGAGGGTTTTGTGGGTGATACGTGTGTTGATAAAAGGCTGTCTGGAACTGTTGCATCTCTGGGACCTGTCCCCAGAGGGGTTAGTAAATGTTTACACATGAACCTTGTTCAGCTCCAGTTGTGCCTGAATTCGTTAGCAGCAGTTTTAGGAACAGTAATGCCCCGTGCACACGGATGAGTTGTCCAAATGCAGTTCATTATGTAGATGTTGAAGGTGTGTCTCTGCGCATAGCTTTTTTCTCCTTGAGGTCCATAGGAGTTTTGTTGGCTACTTTAGGTGGGATGAGGTCTTGCTCCAACCATATTCATGGGATTAGAGACTGTTAGCTCCTTCTTTCATATGTGCACTAGTTACTGCTTGAGAGAGGAGGGAGCATTGCAAAAATGTTAATAATTTCCAATTAGGTAACAGGAGAGATAAGAAAGCTTATTAAGAGTCTTGTGAGAAGCCAAAACTAGGCTAAGTGGTCAGAAAATACTGTGTAATTATAGAAGCTCTCGCTATGAGCAAGTTGTCCTCAACTGTCCTGTGCTGTGAAAGATGGTGAGAAGAATGAAAGGTAGCGATAGGTAGGGAGGGGGATTGAGCCAATAACAGTAACAGAGGGGTGAGGGACCCTGTGAGCCTCGGGTCTCCATCCTCCAGGGACAGAACATTAACTAAGACTCCTTAGACTCTTACCTTCAATGGGACTAGTCTAGTCTGAGCTTTCCTGGGGGTCAGTGGTGGGAGATCTTTATCTGTTTTACTCTTGTGCTAGTGTAAAGAAGTCCTTTGAGCAGAAGTAGTTTTGCTAACTTTATGAATTAAGGTACAGTTTATCCTTAAAGGAACATGCAGAAGAACATAGCAGTTCAGAATGTGTGGGTTTTTTTTTGTTTTTGTTTTTGTTTTTTCCCATCAGTCCTACTGGAAAAAAGGTATTTAAATTTTGTACAACTCTGAGCTGCATGGTGCCTATAGGCAGTAAGTGGCTGCTAATCTGCTACAGCCAGTATGGAGCCAGGAGCTGGTCAGTCCTCACTCTTTCAGCCCCCTACTTGTACTGAAACCAGAGATTGTGGTAAGGCTGGACAGTGGAGGACACACAGCACGTACAGACCCTGAGTCTGTTAACCTATAGCTGCAGCATCTACATCAAGTAAGTACTGTTGAATAAGGCCCATATGAGTTCATCGAGACAGAAGTTACAACAAAGACAGGGTATGCTTAGGTAGTACTTAGGTACACGTTAGGTGCCTGCCTCGTGTGGATTTCATTAGGAATTAAGTCAATTCTAGTTTAAATTTGCGGCCATAGTGTTAAACCAACAGAGGATTTAAAAGTTTTTCTTTTTTTCCACCTTAATAAGAAGCAGGGAAGTAAGTGTCCGCGGTGGTGGGTTTGCTCAGAAGCCCCGCTGGGCTCTGTTAGGGGTGAGCGCAGAGGGCTCGCTCTGCGGGGGCAGGTGCCTTAGCAGAGTCTGCTGCAGCAGCACGGCCGGCCGTGGATGTGCCCAGCAGGGCAGACCTGCAGTCCGCGTCCGTGCCGACCATCTCCCCCTGCCCCTC